TGCCTCCAAGCAGTGTTCGGCTGATAAGGAAGAACACGACATAGGGAATCACCCTCATGGAGGAGGCTTACACCCTCAAACATTCAAGGGAAGGAAGTGTGGAGTCACTCTTTATAAGAGCACATTGGAGTACTAGGCGTTTGCGATCAGTTCAAGGTCTGAGAAACCTTCACCCTCCTTATATAACTAAGACCGATGATTGTGATTGGCTGGAAACCTTGTTTACTATGGACAGCTTATACCCCTTGCGGGGTAAATAGCTTGAGAAAATCAAATCAAATCAAATCAAATCAAATCATCACTCCCTCACCGAGCGAGCTAGCGAGTTCACTCCTGCAAGTCGTGAGCGACTTGTGTACACTCCTTACACACTAGGTATATAGCAACACTGGTCTTCACTAGGAAGTCCTGTGTTCAACTCAATCAGTTAATCCAACAGTCCCTTTGGTTTACACTAATACTTACTACCTGCTTCACTACGCTTGACACTCCGGTTCACGAGTCCAACCCCGTGACACACTATCTTACCCAAGAGAGTTTGGCACTTAACAAGCATATACTCTTATAGTAATAGTATTACGGATCTAGAGAGTCTATATATGGCTCCACGTTACTTACTATCTTAACTATCTATAAACCCTTCTAATTATCAAGACCTACTTATGCACTCGTATTCCCAGCAGCGTAGAGTTCCTCTATAGGTTTCCCATTGGTATCAATCACACACGCGTTCTCGTTTGTCAGTAAACCACCCTTCGTCCCCAGGTCTCCAGGCCAGACTTTGACAGCGTAGAAAGGAGCTCTCTCAATGGGTGTAAGGTCACTGTTAGGTTCGATGCCATCATCCGCGAAGAAGCGGTCATACTTGTTTTCACCGCGACCAAAGTCGTCATCCTTTCCGCGCCGAGCCATGGTGTTGAATCGTTCCACAGTCTTAGTGAGGGAATCAGCGTCGATACCGATCTGTTTGGCCAAATTGTTCAAAGTCTTTCCTCTAAACACAAATCCAGAATCAATGGCGGATCGCGGTGTGTAGCCGGGAATCATCGAAGCCAAGGGATATTTTCGCCGATGATTCGTGTCTAGAACAATCCATGCCGGTATCGCACTCACTTCGCGATTACGCTTGTACATCGCTTGACCAGCATCAGTGTAGGACTGGGCCTCGTTCATGAACCTCTTGCCGCTCGAATCTATGATTATACATTGCGGAAGAGCGCGCTCGACAATCATGAAGAATCGCTGGCCAGTACTGGGGTCCTGTTTAAGCGACAATTTCTGTCCTGTTATGATAGCACTTAACGCTTAAGGCTGTATCCTCCTGTTATCCGATGCGACAGGCGAGATCTACCTTGTTACAAGAGACAACACTGCCATAAGTACACCGACTGCTTCGAACAATGGTTTAGACACTTTGGCCTCCTCGAATGCCTCTACCACATCGGACTCTGCCGGTATTAGCAGTGCGTCTAGCGTGTCACACGTCACTACCATATCTGGTATAATACTTATGTTTGTCTTGGTAATGGTGTAACGATATACCGACGCGGGTTCTCGAACGGCGGCGCAAATCGGTAGATTTGTTGCCGGTGCGATGGTTACGACAGTGACCTCAATGCTAACCTTCCACCGATCCTCTGGGAGGTATCAAGATTTTAGAATGTTGCGACAACATGGACTAGCCTACTTTTGGCTGGATGGATAACTTCTTTGCATCTGGCACTAGCCTAGTGCTGTCCACATTGATTCTGCAGCTGATTCCACCTCAAACCCATATTTCCGAGCTAACGATTCATAATCTGCTTCGGAAGCCCCACAGTAATCAGATATTGTCATTCCAGAACCACAGGCGAGGAAATCCCTGACATACTTTGTGGGGAGGATACGGTGCCATATGATGAATCTTGGATCGGAGTTTATCTACTTGGCTTAGGTCCTTTTATCTATTTAGTCAATGTCAAGCGCTCGTCGAAGTCCACCCTACCTAAAGGCTCCTGAACTATATCGTTCATTTCGTGGACTTATGATGCTTGATGCGTAGTTCCGCTGCAACTGGTAGTCAAGAGTAGAGACTCTCCAATGGCTTCAACTAGTGCGAGAACTTTCTCTTCCTGTAACCGCTGGCACATGGGCTGAAGTCCTACGCGAAGTCCTTGGCTGTGATCGGCAGGCACTATTATCATTCATTAGTCTTGACTCTACATGGAGCGCCCCAAACATGACTGACACGCATTTGGCTCGATATCAAACACAGATCCTCGACCTGTGACAGGAAAAGTGCAAGATGGAAGGTCTAGCGCATTGGCTACCGCGGTGTATCCTGTCTATAATGTCAAGGGTCATGGCGAAAAGTGACGGCGTTCTCAATTCTCACCAAAGTATCGATCTGTCCCCTTCTGACTAGCGGCATGTGGCGACACAGGTAGTATCACTCCATCTATTGCTCGACCAGAAACCGTCTTAGCTCCCATGGACGACCAATATTCCATATAAGAACGCTTGTATTCTTGAAGCTCTCTACAGAGTTTCCAGAAATCCTCGGTTGGCAGGGAGCCTGGGTCTGCTTGCTGGTACCATTCCTTGAGTTGATCGACCGGTGGCTCTCCGCTAGCATCGATTGCGTCGCGAATGCACTTGGCGGAGGTCGACCTCCTCGCGAGTATGTTAGCAACGACACACCGTCCATGATTGATGATTTACTAACACAATCATAGCACACAAGTTCGTCCAACAGCACCAACAAGCTTCCCAGGACTCGGAATGACTATACGAAAGACGGGGTGACGAACTATCCACACTGCAGCGTCAAGATAAAAGCCTTTGCTACGAGAAACGCGAAGATCGAGGAGAGGCAATCTGACTTGGACAGACGTCGGAAAGCGCTGGACGATCTGGAAAAAGAATACTAAGATAAAGAGGCGAAGCGTGACGCCCTTCATGCGCGTTGAACCACTCGGGAGCGCATTGACGAGGAATTCAGTCGTTCGCAAGACTTGGTATGCAACAAGATAACCGCCGGAATCAAGGGTCTAGGTCTGTTAGCTTGTCAGAAGGTCCACAAACTCTGAACTGACCTGTGTATCCATATAGGACCTGGCAAGCCTAGAATTGCGCTTGATGCACTTGAACTTCTTTTCACAGGACTACACGGATACACAGGCCAGTTAGAAGAGCTCGACGAACAAAACCAAGGGGCAGAGAAGGAGGTTTTGGATGATGCAGAGCTTGAAAAGATGAGATCAGAACAAGAGGCAGAGACCAAAGCTCTTGAAGATGAAGCAAAGGCCATAGAAGAAGCAAAGGGGAACTTGTGGAGAGATTGGTTGATGGCGCGTCCAACACCTTCGTGACTGCATTAGCCCTTGTTGTATCTGCTTCATGCCATCTACAATCATCCTACGCAAAACAAAGGAACAGCGACTGAGAAATTGCTTTGGCTAGTACGAGAAGGGAGGAAAGAGGACAAGATGTCGGAACGAGTAAGGCAAGCAATGAAGGAGAAGTTATGGTGGCCGACTGGCTCTTCCAATCAGGACAGGCGAAGGAACGAGGGATGTGGCCGTGGCTGTTGTCAACGCAAAGGCAGGTTGTCGAGCGCATCGAGGAGTGAAGTGATGAGGCGTGGGGACGAGACTAGTTCGCCGATGTACACGTGAGGTGATGAGAGACAAAAGACGAGGGTTTGTAATAGTGTTCAAAGGCCATGTATGCAAGGCGCGTGGTTCGTGAGTGTTGTCGAGGACAAGCAGATGCCGCCAGTAAGTGACAAGGCTCCGTTCGGTGATTCGATGTTGGACGGCTGGGGTCTGGGCATCGCGCGCACAATTCAGGACGGCGACTCTCTACTTGCAGCTCTAAGGCGCTTCATGAGTCACACCCTTCTGGAGGTAGTTGTTGACATGTCGCTTGTCAAGATTTCTGTGGCAGATCTTTGCTTAACGCCGCGGCTCGGAGCTTTCCCCAGAAATTCGACCAACCTCGACCGAGGCCATAACAATCTTGGTCGCAACCAACTGGCATCGACAACACCAAGCATGGGACCACGACAGCACCTTGCATTTCTCCCTTTGCCCTCTGCCAACTGTCGCTCGTAATCAGACATTGGCGCACAACAAGCATCGCCTCCGGTACCGCCGGCGCCGCTCCGACTGCTGCACGCCGACACTCTTGACTCCGCTTCTTCATGCCAGACCAACGACTCACAAGTCTCGAGGCTCTGCGCCTTGCCCACCGACCGACGTCTGCCGATGATCGTAGGCTCGTAGGCGCATACTCTTCTGTACTCGTGTGCTGCTTCTCATTCTCGATCGCCATGGTGTGCACGACCTCAGCTGTAACCATGTGCCTGCAATCCTGAAGTGCGAGAGAACAAGGAACAAGAGAAGGCGGACATTCACAGGCGTAACGAGCGCCCACTAGATACAGCCACAATTGGAAAAGCGGTGGAAAACAATCAACATACTGCGACGCACCGGTATCATCCTCTCGCTTCTAGACCCGTCAGTGATCTCGTCAGTAACCGCTCGCCCTTCCGACATCAATGCAACGCCCTTGCGCTACCCCTTCATGAGGAAAAAGTCATACTAGAAGAGAAGATCGCTTCATCGTTTTGTTCCATGCCCTCTGCTAACCATACGCCTTGTTCTCGAACGTCTATGCAGAGCTGGGTTTAGACTCGGCTCGATCAATTCTGCCGACTTGCTCATCTCTGCTAGCTAAAGATGCGCACACGTTCTAGACATTACCAGAAAGCATAGGTATAGGAATCTGCGCAACCAAAACTAGTGCAACTGTTGACTCTTGTCTCCGTCTGCTTGTGTGGACACTATACTGCTCCCTACGCAGCACGACCGGTATTCTGTGACGGAGATGTGAAGTTGCAAACAACTCTCTGACTTCAATCTGCTCACTCGCCTTGCTGCATGGTAAGGACCCACTGTGATTCGTCAACGTGATGCATGATACGTTAGCTTGCATGATCTTATCTTCCCTACACATTGACATGAATAGATATTGGAGACACTGTCGTTGCCCCCCGTACCCGACGAAATATACACGCTCCTCGTAGTACAGAAAGAGCCAAGGTGTATCCCCGACGGTGCAGAGATCGAGCTCGAAAGCTGTGCACCTACACTCGCATCCAATTTCTTGCCTCCGGAACGCTGACGCCACCACGCCGAATTATCAGCATAGTGAACTATGCGACAACGCTTGAAATACAATCACTGGGTAGCCTGACTCTTGAGAGGACCTTGTCTGGCCATACAAAACTCAAGCGCCGACCCTGGAGATCGTCTATCGGATTAAAATCTTCTGCAGCAGAGGCCCGATGACCTGCGTTGGTTGTCGAGAGGTTCATCAAATGGTGTATTTTAGTAAAGGAAACATTTGTTCAAAAGGGCAAGCGTTCCACAACCGGCCTGTGTCTTCCCAGGAAGGCCTTACCTAAAGAACGAGAGGGTATGGTTCGATCTTTCCGACCAGCGGCATGTTGGTAGAGTTTACTTCAGGGTCTCTTTAAATGTGTGTCATGGTTGAGCTAAGAAACGGAAGGGGAGGGCATGCCGGAGTTCATGTGGTGCTAATCACTCGATTATGTGATTTTTATGCTGCATCCTAAGCTAAGTTGTCACTCTAGATATGAATGTAGCCTAACCTTTGTAAATCTGTCAGAATGTTCATTGTCTACTTAAGAACAGAGCTGGCATTGACCGCCTTGATGCTACCATAAATCTATCTACCCTCTCTATACACTTTATGTAAAACAGCCATCATGTCACTTTACTTGCTCAAGGAGTTGGTAGCGCTAAAAACATGCTGTGGCTGTCAGATGATATTTCGAAACCATCTGCATGCCCTTCGTATGCTCGCCGATACATTTCGAGAGTAGCAAGGTAATGCTATCTCTGGTGGAGAAAAGTGCTGGATGGTACCCCTAGGAGACATGTTAAGGAGCTCTTACCTAAGCGCCTCGTCTCATTCTTGCAGCGCTCGTCGGTGCATCGCCTCTGCTTCTTCGTACCTTCCCTGACTCTTTAGCACCGACCCAAGCTGGCTGACACTAGTGAGCGTGTCGGAGTGCTCTTGACCAAGCGTACTTACTCGTATCTCTAGTGACAATTGATAAATCCCCTCTGCCGCCGCATACTCTCCGGTAAGCAACAGATACCATCCTGCGTTGTCAGCGCTGTCTGCTTGCTTCTTGAGCCCTTCCTGGTCTTCTGTACTGTGGTTGAGAACCTCTTTTAAGTGCGGCAGCAGCACTTTGCACTGGTCCCACGTTTCGTAATTTCCGTTAGGAAATGCTCCGCTCAGAGTCAGTATCGACTCCATTACCCACTTGCTAAGATCGCTCTCTGCTTCTAGCCACCGCCTCATCGACAGCTGCACGAGCCGGTGCTATGTCAGCGCCTGATCCCCGATCTCCATCCTTACAAACGATAAACTGAGTAATGGCGCTAGAGCGTCTTCGAAGTCCAGCTGGCGAGTGCTGCCTTGTAGTAGCCATCGTGGAATGCCCTGCTTGTCAAACATACTCATGAGCGCAAGCAGATTGGCGGCCTGCGGCTCTGTCGCCTGGATCTGCTGGAACGATGTTTGCCATGTTGCGATTACCGCATGCCGGATGCTGTGATCGCGTCGAATGTTCTTCAGTTCCTTCCTACTGAGCAGGTGCACCTGATTAGATTCGCTCTCACGAAACAGGTCGAGGTAGGTAGCTATCGTCGTTGTGGATGCTCTTGACTCGATGTATGCTCCAGCATGCGTGATAGCGAGAGGTATGTACTCGAGCTTGTGCACGAGCTTCTTAGCGTCTGCTCGAGTGGCGTCGCTAAACGGCACCCTGGTGTGAAGTAGTTGTAGCGCATCCTCTTCGCCCATTGGCTCTACCTTGATGACGCCTCTATGTCCGCCGATAACATTGGTGGCTGCGTTGGTATTCCTGGACATGACTAGAATCGTGCCGTGCGCTGCCTAAGGAAGATATTTCTCAAGCGGTGTGCCGTTCTGAGCGATATTGGTTGCCTGCACAGCGCTTTTGCTTGAGCTTTCTTGGTCATACCCAAAGAAAACGTCGTCGTCATCGACGTTGTCGAGTATGATTAGCCATTGTCCATTCCTGCGGTCTGACAGCCAGGCGTATACTATCTGCAAGACGTCGACCTTAGGGACTTCGCGCCCGGGTAGGGGTAGCGAAAGTCTATCGGCTATATCTCTATATCCTTGCCGGCATCTCGTGGGGCTGCTTGCATGTATCCAGAATACGAGCACGTGCGGCTCGGTCTTTCGAACTCTGTAAGCATACCCTGTGGCAATCTGCGGCTTTCTAGTTTCTCATCAGTGCTATTGCCAAGGACAGATACAGACGAACAGTGCTTACCCAGCACCTCCAAGTTCGACTAAAGCTACACGCGGATGCGAGGAGGCAGCTTCTCTACGCTCGCTGATCTGGGCGAGAATGTGCTCACGACCCACGAATAGATCATCCCGTGCAAAAGGCACTATAAAGAGGGCGTCGCTTGCTAGTGGCATTATAGGTTCTCGTCTTACTATACACCACGAGGCAATGGTTTTACATACATGCAACGTCCGCCGGGTCCACAACAACAGACGGCGTTACTTGCTGGTTTCCTAGCTCCTGTCGTACAAAGGTTTTCAACACACCAGCAATAGCACGGTAGTCCTGGTCGTTTCTGCTACTGTATCGAGCCATCTGCATGTGGTTCGCGTCGATACTCTCCACCGTCTCTAGCGTTCGCGGGAGGTCGAGTTTTGAGGAGAAATCGTCCACCACCTGTAGTTGTCAGCCTTGCTCTTTGATTAGCAGCATGAACCCACCTTCTCGGTTGACCCTTTCATGCCAGTAATTCCGCGTGACTCCTGGAAGCTGTGGATCTTCATCGTTCTCTCGAACACAATCGTCTTGAGCTCCTCGTGGATGTTGTCGAGCACTTCGTTATTCACTTCGAGCGACTCGAGCAGCCGTTTGTTCGAGTCTTGGAGAGCCATTCGAGCGAGGTTTGAAGCAATCTGGCCCCAACCTGCATACGCGCTACCTCGATGTGGCGTACCGAGGAAGATAATCAATCTTGTCCGGTCGCGAACCTTCTCTGACCGGCGAATAGCCTGCAGCAGTATGTTAACAGAGCCGTCGTCGTTGTTTTGCCGGCCACTGGGCCCTTACATCTTTGAGAATGATACCACCGAGGCTGTGTATTACGAACGCAAGTGGTTTCTGCAATCGTGTCAAATGCTTGCTCACGTTCCATGAACAGGCTAGCACTCTACCTCATTGTCAATTTCTCTATCCAGCCGGACCGACAGATCTCGGCCGTGCTGCGGGATGCTGTTCTTGTTGTTGGCCTGGAGAAGTCCGCCAATTACGTCTGCGTTATAGCCGTACGTCCACACACAAGCCTGCGGTATGTCTGCTGCGAGGTACTCTTCGGGCCAGAAGACGGTAGTATGAGATGGCGACGACGATGGCGGACCGGCCGAGGGCCCTTGCTCTTGTTCTGCACCATTCGATAGCGACCCAGCTGTTCGTTGCTTGAACAGAGACTTCAGGCCTTTGGATTTCTTTGTCGTGCTGTCGCTACCGTTGCTTGCGCTCGCCGGCGTCGCCGCTGTTGCTAGTGCTGCTGCTGTGCATGTATTTTGAGGATGGCCTCGGAGGCCGTGGACGAACACGATACTACAGATGTTAGCAGCTGTCTCCCAATGTGTGTGCAGACATGATCCTACTTCAAACCAGACCGGTCATCGCTTTGCCCGCTGGCCGTCAGCCTGGTGAAGCTGTGTCGGTGCACGGTCGTCATATGCGCCATAGGGCTAGAAGCCCGTCACGTCGCGGGGAACCCCACAGCGATGAGCAGTTATCGTTCAATCTGCGGCGGCGTGAGTATCGAGGAAGAGGTATTGCAAAAGTCATCTTCACAACTGCACCAGGCTGAAGAGTAAAGGCGGCATCGGCCTTAGCGCGATCCTACTATCATGCGCAGCAGCCACAGTCGATGGAGCTGCATATCGGAGGCTAGCAGAATCCGCTCTGATTGGCTTAGCTGACACCTAGAACACGAAACACAGACCGCGCGCAGCTAGTATTTCGCTATCTCTACCTACAGAGTCTACTGTTATGAAACAATCTACTTGAACGAGGTGCAGTCCTTATAGGAATATGCGACATCTTGCGAATGACCTATAGAGCTAATTGTCGCGGGCCATTATGCCTTGTCCGATGCACTGGTAGTCGTAGTTAGATGTATTCCCAACATACCTCTTCGGAACGTCTTTCTCCGCAAGGCCAAAGGTCCGCAGAATTCGAAAGAAGCGTGTAAGAAGAAAGACAACTTGCAAAATCTTCGAGCCGTCGCTACTGCTTCCAGAAATCTGGCTTGCGACGCAAATTTAACTAATCGCAATTCGAAAACTGTGCCACGCTGCTTGGCTCTCTGGTGGGTATTCGTCACGATCGTTCTTTACCTGATTGAATTGTTTTCTCATTCGGTAGAACTCCTGAGTCGACGAGACATTCCTGTTGTAGGAAACAGAAGGGTATTGGGAAAAGAAATCGTCCAAAGCGTCTGCTTGCTGCATCTTTTGAAGATATGATCGGTTCGCAAAGTTATCGAGGACGAAGGGTACAGATGTTCCGTAAAAAAGCGACAAATGGAGGGATGAAACATAGAGCTTATATATCCTTGACTGCCAGCAAGCGAGATAAACCGGCATGCTGCTTGAGTCTGAGACTCATTCCCAAAATGCGTGGCAGCACATCAGACGAATATAGTGCATTATACAAGGATAACATCGAGTTTCACTACTTTGCCAGAAGTCTGACGAACGATCCCTAACTTGGTCTTCCACTGCTTCAACACTGCACTTCACGAGTTCATTTTTGCGACCCATGATCCTATCGGATAAGATGTTTGGCCATAACACTACTACAAACCTCATGGGCGAGCGCAGCGATCAAGCAATGTTCTATCTAGGTTATACAGACGGCAAATTCACAGATAGATCATAGAGATGTACCAAACAATCAATCTCTCAATTAGAGCGTTAGCTGAATACGACTCAACTGCTCGTTGAGTTCGTCCGCTTGTAATGACCACTGATCCTTTTTCCTTTCGAACAGGTCTCCAAGTAGATTCTCGAAACCAATCGCAAAGTGCAAGAGGCATGACGATGCCCCTCGTAAGCAGGTTGCAATCTTTTCATTCGCGCAGTGCGAGTTTAAGAGAGTATTTGTCTGCTGCAAGAGCTGGCACGTCACATTCAGTAGACGTTCAGACCCACACCAACGCTTTCCGATCATAAGCCGCTCGGTTTCTCGGAGACCATTGAAGTACGCGACACCTGTTGATTTTCTCTTCTGGCGTACCAAGCGCTTTCCGCCTACAAATGTTCTCACAATCCCGGTCAAAAAGTCTGAAAGTAGCCTCATAGCGATGGTTCTCGGGCCGGACTCCGAGCTTGTTGTGCTTTCTGCGAGATCAAGCCCTGTGTTTGCAATCCATTCTAGACAGAGACTAGCATTGCAGTATAGACAGCTGAGATCATGACTAACGAGTCTGTCATACAGATCTTTCTCGCAGGATTCCGGTCCACGAGTTGAAATTTCTGTGGTGATGTGTGTTATGTCCACTAGCGAGTTTCTGAGGGAGTCAAGGATATCCGTCGACATTACGTCCCTACGATTATCGTCAATCTCACTATTAAGACCATCTGGTGTATGGATGCTTCACCTGCTCTCGATGCTTGAGTGTCTTGGTCGAGCACTTATCTTGCGAGCTGCCTCTTGGCATGTAGATCGCAGGCGTGACATCCAGGGTTCATTTTGCCAGTTCCCAGTACACATCGCAAATGCTTGTGTCATTTCAAGATCAAAAGCTGGCGTAAGCAACTCATGTCCGGACCATACCGAAGCATGAAGCTAGGATGGAATGCATTGATTCTTGAGGAAGAGCTTCCGATCTGGCTGGTGCATGTTGAGCTGCTGAAGACTTTGCCCACACCTTGTGACCTGAACGCGGCTAGCTCTCCGCACATCCAGGACTTGTCCTGCCACATACATAATATGACTCAAGGTTACTTTACCTGGAGGATCTTGAAGACCGCAGATCTTACGTCAACTTTTGACGTGTCATCAAGTTTTATGCTTGGCTTGATGAATGGAAGTGAGTCCAAAATGCCCATCTCACCCCGAACACCTGTGATCATCTGTTCCACCTCTCTTAGAACTCTGAGGATGGGAGAGCCATCTGTCACAGCATTCAAGCCGTTCCTGAGTGGGTGGTTATTGGCGGGTTGCTGAAGCAGTGCAATAACCCCACCTATCATCGTCGGTCTCAACAACTGCTTCGTTACAAGATATTCGTGATTATCGAGACTGGAGATGAAGGGCTTCATGCGTAGCTCCAGGAGCTCTTCCAAGATCGATCTAAATGCGTCACCAGAAGGGAATTGTTGTGGAGGATCAAGTCCAGTGAGCTTCGACTGCAGCCTATGATCGATTGCGATCCCGAGATACTCTCGCGTTGACTTTCGCCTATCTTCAGACATCATGTTTGCAAACTGGAATACTGCTAATTATGGGTGAAACGTGTAGCCATGCACTTCACAACTGAGGAAAAGAGGAAAAGTTGCCGGGCGCACCGTGAGAGAAATGAGTGCGATTTCAGGTAGATAAGGATTCTGCAAGCTACACGAATTTATCCTCTACGTGCTTGCAAGTGCAGCATTAGGCGAGCTTGGTCACAAATAGAGCGTTAATCACAACGCATGCCACCTCACCCGATGAAGATGATGCCCGACCTCATGCACGGCTGCATGCGTCTGCAGGTTACGGTAAGGATTCATATACACAACTATCATGCAGCGTATTGAGTGCCATGTATGGAGAAGAAATTCACGCTCAGCTCGATTGATTTTCCAGCAGGAGTTCCAACATAAGATCTTCTCCAGGCGACTTCCTCCTGTAGCCATGTAGGATTACCATCACATGTGCACCAAATCCTTTCAATTTGCAATGTGGATCATGCTGTCTTCATACAGCTTCATCTCGTCACATCCAGCCAGTCGTTCCCTGCGGCGCTTAGAGCGTGGCTCAAGCTAGCAGATGGTCTGCATTCAAGCTGTACTAGTAAGACCATTCACGCAGTACGAGGGTGGAAGTACAGATGCAGGGTCTTGGATATGAGGGGTTGGTAGCGTTGGTTCTTCGGAAGGGGAGATTTATACGGTGTGGAGATAAACAGGCTTAGGGACCAACTGAGTGTGTGCACTATACTTTGGAGAACGGGAAAAGAAGGCCCTACCATACCCTTGGACTACTCTACTCATCGATATGGACCCAAATATAATGCTATGACAGTCGTAAGCAGATCCCGAGTCAATTTCCCGCCAATGACATAGCCGAGTGTTTTGTGCAAGTTGCAGCCGAGGTCTTTGGCTAAGCGCTTGCCCGAGCGGCCAGACTTTATGAAAGTGCTTCGAGCTGTGGCACAATGTCTCGACAGCTCGACCGATGTCATGAATGTAAACAGATCTAATAATCGCCAGGACGATACTCCAAATTACATCGCGTTGACTTTGCCTCTGTTGTAGAAGAATCTGATCCAAAGTTTGCAGCTGCTTTAAGATTTTGAAGGTGCCACGCTAGTAGTCTGACACAAATCTTTGTATTGCAAATTGAATTATCATGCCAGTGACTTGCTACCCCAGTGCAACGCTAAAGAGGCATAGTTAAGTCTATGTGATTCTAGACACCGCTTGCGCTCTGTGAACGCGACGGCAGAGGTCAAGGTGTCGAGGTGTCGGTTCAGCCGTGTCAATGAGGATTGTAGAACCTTTACCGCAGTTAGCTGGGGATTTCACGTCGTATTTGTTAGATAACAGTACAATACCTAACTATCATATATTCAGGGACTCGGTGTAGGAATAGCCATTCGTGTTTGCTGTTGTTCCAAGCTCTCTGAGGCGCCCAGATACCGCATCTATGAGCCAAACGTCTGATGTTCCGGTACTGAGCCATCTCGTGCCCTTCTCGAATGTCGATCTCCATGATGACCACGTCTTCGTGCTAGTTCACAAGCCGACGCCCTGCTTCTTCGAATGCCGTTGTCAAATCCGAGTATACAGAGATGAACGCAGAGGGCTCCCTGCTTGCCCAATCAAGGTGATTTTGGATCGATTGTTGCGTCTCGGGAAGACAAGGGTCGAAGCTAGCATGCGACTGGTTCCGTGAGAGTATGCCAGTATGCTTGCAATACTGGGCTTGAGGGCCATCATCTTGGACACGGAAGAAGACCAACGGGGTTTCTCCAAAATAGGGCATGATGGTTGTTACGTTGATGTCGCGAAGGACGGGGGTTGAGCTGACGATATAGAGTATCTGGGGTGGGCGGGTGATTTAAAACTGTGATGCATGCAACTAGGCGCCCCCACTTTTGAGGATCGACACAGCGCTTATGGAGTGCCTAGAAGTGAAGCTTGACTGGATAAGCAAGCGACGTCTGATCTAATTTTGGTTGTCACATCCAAGAACGCCAACGACAGCCTTTCGTCTCATCTTTGACGCCACTAGATCTGCAGCTTACTCTATTTCTGTCGAGCTTGTGAATGCATCGGCGTAGTGATATTGTAGATGCATGGCGTGTAAACATGATGGAAGCAGAATCCACGCCACAAAGGGGTCATGCTACTAGATGCTGAACCTGTCCGAGGATTTCCATCCCCCCCTCCCCCCTCCCCACGACAGTGGTAACCTTCAAGTCCTATCTGCACGTGGACAGCCTTTTTCTGAATCAAACTGATCGTTCTCGGCTCAGTAAGCTCCATAACACCCGCTCGATCTTCATCAGCAGATAATCTTGGGTTGTCAATCCAGCACGATGCTGACAAAATACGAACTCCCGACCTACTGCCGCCCATGCTTCAAAACCTTCGAGAACCATCAAGGCTGGGCCCAACACAAGCGTGACTCTCCTCCACACAACGATCATGTAGACACATCCGGATATATTCAAATGGAGTCTGAACAAGCTCTGAGGCAAAGTGCCAGCTTGGGGCTTGCCTTTTGTGTCTGTGGCAAGGTCTTCAAGAACACCATAGCCATGAGGCAACATCCCCAAGACGCCCAGCCTGCTCCTATATCACTCGAAAGTACTGATGTTCCAACACGGAATCTCCGTGTGACCTGCATCGAGTGCTACAAGAGATTCAGAGATAAGATTGCTCTGGATATGCATATGCTGAGCTCCCACGGTCTGGGCCAGCCCTCTACCAAAACTGAGAAGGCACAAAGCGTGCCGATGGAGGTTCCTGCACTTTGCAACTGTGGCAAGATCTTCAAGAGCGAGGATGCTATGAGGCAGCATATGCGCGATACTCTTCGCCGTTGCTCGCGAGCTGTGAGAAGCAGTGAGCCGACTCATATTGCGATGCACAAACCTTATGACATATCCACAATGATATCTCGCATGGATCTGGACTAGGTTTTTCCTCTATCATAAGCATGTTCGAGGACGTGTGTAGGATGATGCTAGCCCTCTATGAATGCACTTGTTGATGTCAAGATAGCAACAGACAAATTATGGCCTTGATGAAGATTGAGGATATAAAGGACAATCAGGCTGTATTATGGCCTATACTATGGAGACAAGACAGTCCATTCTAGCTAATGGATGACACTTGTACTTGAAAATTAGAAAGTTTGAGTGCACCCCTTCATGACTCTCCTGGTATATATAGGGTAAGCCTTGTGTTTTCAGTGACGTAACCAGATATCATGACAGTCTTTTCATGGCTGGCAGTACAATGAGTGGCCGAGCAGTTCTTCCACGTGGACGTGTCTTTCGATACAAGCGGTTGCCGACATGATCTTTCTGTTGCCTTCCGCCATACTGTCAACACAACTGCATCTGCCGCTGTTGTGCTTCTGCGATTTTGCCTTCTCTTATTCCTTCTTTTGCATCAGATTGATTTCATTGGTTGTCGACCTCTTGTGTGTCGTAGTCATCCTCGTCCGCGGTATATCCCGGCTGTTCCTGACAGCCGGCGCTGTCGAATTTGGGTTCGTCGTCCGTTCCAGACCATTACATGCTCAACTGAGTCTCTTGCATGCAGACTATGACCTGAGATGACCTTACTGCCTAGAGCTGTCTCATAACGGTTGGCAAACTCGCGACATTCCTCTAGATACCACGAGGCCAACGACTTTGACAGCGCCCGTTCTGTAGTTAGATCCAGCGTCGCGATCAATGGCATTGGCTTGAATTATGAGCACGAGAAGGGCACTTGTGGAAAGATGCTTCCTGGCTCTTCCCATGTTTATGACAGTGATGCAGAAGATTTGCAGAGCGACAGTGCGTCGAAAAGAGTGCCTGTCGAGCGAGCTTAAGTACAGCGCTCTCCAGATGGCAGTGTATTCCCTCATCTGTACACGAATAAGATGCTAGAGGACAGTTTACCAATCTCGATGGCGCATGTGGTGATACGGGCATCTATCTTTAGACCTAATCACATCACTGCGTGGGACATAAAAACATGTAACGGAAAGCCGCCGACACCACAACTCTTTTAAGATCTCTCTCCACCACCTATGGAAAGTCCCTTTTCTCTTGCGGAAAGTAATCTATCTGTAATCAATCACCAGCTACAACCGGCTAAGCCGGACCGCCTCCAAAAGCTTGGCAGACACCGTGCTTACACCGGCCAAATGATGTGCGACATGCTGGTGTCCTTGCGCCAAGCATAGCCTCATGGCACCGGAGAGTCCACAGCGGAGAAACCCTCTCTCACCATTATCTCAGTTCTTCGTTGAAGGTCGCCAAAGACTGCTGCATCTTCCAACCACCAAGGTTTTTGATTAAAAACAGGTGTGATGGCTAGATCGCACTACTATACACTCCAGTACATCGGAGGGCGAAGAAGTCATGCGGGTGGGGTCTAGCACTGAGTGGGCTTCGAGCACTGTGCGTTTCGCGCCTGCAAGAAGATCTGGAACCACGCATGAAGCATCACTCGAGTGTGGAAACCGAACGCATCTCATCAGCGGATGGCTTACCTGGTTCAGAGTTGGAGAACGATCCGAAACTATGTTAGCACGGTGACTCGTTCGCAGGACGCCGATACTTCCCTACGTAGTTTAAAGTCGAAGAACACCTCGAAACTACGTCAGCAGCACAACTTCACTGCTGGCTTACATGTTTACAGGACGAAGGCCACTTCGAAATTACTCAAGGAGCCCAGAAGTTTACGTAGTTTGAGCCTAAAGAACGACTCGAGACCACGTAAGATCGACGCTTCTTCTTACCACCTTACGTGGTCTGAGGTCGCAGGGTAACTCTCACCAGCTTACGTAGTTCGAGGTCGCAGGACGATTCGAAACCACGTCAAGAGCACGAATATACTGCTGGCTCACGTGGTTTGAGCTCGAAGAGCAGCGCCAAACCACGTAAAACTACGTTTTCGGCTTACATAGTTTGAGGTCGCAGCTCGGACCGAGACCACGTAAGAAGCACAATCTCATGGCTTGCTCTGTCGCTAGTTTTATGTAGTTTGAGCGTGCAGGAAAAGCCCAAACCACATAAGCATCTGGACTCCAAGGCTAACTTACGTAGTTTGGACTCGAATGGCGGCGGGAGATCAGGTGAACAGCATGAGTCTGCTCAGTTCGAGCTTGTCGGATGAGCTGAAACCGCGTAAGACACGGATTCTTACCAGCAATTATTGATGCACATCAACTTTGGCGTAAGACCACCGATCGAGCAGACACGCACTCGTGGATCAGATTCGTCGAGCGCGCCGCATTGATTTAGGATCCACCACCCGGGGTCCCTGATAGGAATATACACATCCGTCGGCCAGGTTCGTCAAGCGCACCAAGAATAACACACAGACGCAGAGCAGCCAGGCGTTGCTATCACGATTAAGCTCTGCCTGCTAAACACATCAAGCTGCACCAGAAGGCATAATAGAGTGCAGGCCAGATTACATGTCGTGACATTTAAGATGGCAAGAGATGATGTCAGGACGTGACACTACAAGTGTAGTGCTTATAGACGCTTATTGCCATCACCGCTAACCATAGTCTTAGCACGGCTATGAAAGTTGCTATAGAGTAAATCCCACGATACGTAATTAAGGTCCGCTACGGCGGGCATTCTTTAACAGATGTAGTGTATCTTTAGAATTAGATAGTATATGCATAGATCTATTAGCAACGAAAGGGATAGTACCCCTATAATTAAGATATTAAGGACTAGTAGGGTAGTACCTTACATAGTCTTGCTTTAGCTAAGACTACCGTCTAGCTAACATCTAACTAACATTACCTAAGAGATGTAAAGTAGGCTTCTTTCTATGTATTACTTATACTTCTATTACATTCCTACGCTTTACTTTACCTCTTATAACTACTTTACTTTCTACAATTAGTTACACTCTTATAATCCTTCTAGTTCCTCTAATTCTCTTACTTCTTATATCCTCCTTTAATCTTTATAAGTCTCCTCTACATCTTATAGTTCCTCTACTTCCCCTAGTCTCCCTTACTTTACCCTTTATCCTTATACTCTAGTCTTAATCCCTTTTCTAAAAGGCCTTTATGTCTAATAATCTAAATGACATGTGCGATTAACTAGAAATAGTAACTCCTAGTATAATGCCTAATAGTAATGTTTAATAATAGCTACGCTATTATTATTATGTAAATTCTTAGACTATGGTTCTTAAGCATTATTAAATGAATTTTCGGTATACTATGACTTACTAGCGCCTAAGGACACTAAAGAAGGCAATAGTTATCTACGATGTAACATCTTATATTAATTTATAAGCATAAAGCGTATACTTCTCTAGCTCTTACTATAATACTATCTATCTAAGTAAATCGTAATTAAGTATCCTAGACTATATTGTTACGATCCACTATTGGACGGGAGCTTCTCACCCGCCAAGACAGTGAGCAGGATGGCTGTGTGCCGATCCTCACTCACTTGGCGAGTGAGCCAGCAAACCACGCCGACAGGGTGACCCTGACAGTTCGCCATCTTGGCAAGTGAGCTGCAAAGGAGATCCTCACTCCCTCACTCTGTGAGCCAGCGAGCTCACTCCTGCAAGTTGCGAGCAACATGCATACACTCATTATCTATCAGGTATATAGGTAGGCAGGAACTCAGTAGGAGGTCCTGCGTTCAACTCAAATAGTTATTCCAACAGTCCCTTTGGTTTACACTACACAACATACTACTTGCTTCACTTGCTTGACACTCCTCTTCACGAGTACAAATCCCGTGACTAGTTATTCTACCCAGAATAGTTGGCCATAACAGTTACTTAGGCGTAGAAGAGTGACTTACATCATGCTTGCCTTGCTGCTTGATAGTTAGGATTAAAGGTCCTTAAAAGTCCTTTAAAGCTATAACAAAAAGTGAAGTTATATCCTCTACGGTCGCCAAGAATATGTTCATATAAGATGCACTTGTATTATGAGGTACCCTTATAGTGTGAGTGGCAAAGACATATCTGAGCTGCTCCTCGGGAGTCTTAAATCAAGCCTTAGGAGCTTTCATCTTATTATAGGCGAGACGTCTAAAGGTATAGTAGCAAAAGCATAAGAGATAAATATTACCCATTACCCTTAAGCATCATTTCTCGCTAGTATTTACCGTTCTCCTATCTTCTACATCTATATTATCGCGCAATACATAGATACATAGTATAGAACTCTTGCCAATTGTTTGAATATAGAACCGAAGGATTTAGATGTCCGCGTTCTGCCCTAGTGTCAGTATCGCTCAATTTCTATCTGATCCCATCTGGTCCCATCTGATCCCACTCCGATCCCACTCCGATCCCACTCCGATCCCACCCTATCATCAAACCGTCACCACTCCGCCACTTCTTCGATCGGTTGACCTGCACACTTGCTCACCTCGACCCTAACCCTTATCCAAGTAAACACTAGAGTATTGGGCGACCACAACCCTTTAGCCTGGTCTCGACGGATTTTTGGTTTAGCCACAAGGCTATCCAATCCTGTCTGACCTAGGACTTGGGTACAGCTGGGATTCGAAACGTGGCCCTTGACAACCCGAATCTCCACGTTCTCTTGGGTTGCTACATTTTTGCGCTTTGTTCTACCTCGTGTTCAGTAGGCTGTGAAGTCCGATGAACACTGTTCAGTATTCGTTGTTACATCGGACCATACTGCCTTGATCGCGTCCTGTAAACTCTGCACGTTCTTCACCCTCCGCGCATAATCATTGATAGCGCCTAGCAAGAAGATCTCTCGAGACCCTAGGTTCTGATGGAGTTCCCGAACTAGAGTCGCACGCGTATCGCTTCTCTCACAGAAATACAGTCGCAGAGAGGACAGAGTTCGCACAATTGTCGTCAACCATCACTTTGTCTCCAATATTGTGTTATGAACACCGATTAGAGAGCTGAGATCACTCGAACCGCTTCTATCAACGAGCTTGTACGGTCTACTTGCCTTCGCTGAACACTATAGTATTGAACTACTGCATAATTATCACGTCGGAGTGATATCCAATCTCAACTGCGACACCCACTCTCACGCACCACGATCCTCACGACTGCGCGATCCGCCCCAACGTCCTTCGAACCACTGTAATTGGTACTGTTAACCTTCGAAGCACCATCTTGGCCTCTCGAGTAATTGTTGCTACAACCCAGATCTAGATCCTCCGTAATCAGAATACCCAGTCTCGGCCATTTTCGCTTGAAGGCAACCCCTTAGACCATTGCTTCTTCGGGCAATGCATCGTTATCTCATCAAGTCTCACGATCTGTGCGTCCATCTTCTTTTGAACACTCTCATTGTGGAATGTTCGCTTCTCAGCGCTGTCCAAGACCTGCGCATCTATTCAATCTCTTTGTTCACGGCTTGACCGCCGAATTCAACGCTACTTAATGTACTTTATTGTCGCAATATACGGAGGACACTTAGGCGATGCTTCGTTGTACCGAAGCCATAGACGAAAGATATTCGATGACTCAGGGCTCCGGGAAAATCGAACGATATGAGAAATAGGGACAACAGAACGACAAAACTGCTGTTGATCCATCATAGATCCGACAATCTCATAGGTATGATGCAATTCGTGATGGAGTTATACCATAGTGGTTGGTCTCGGCATCCGAGGCAGCTTTGAGAGATTGTCGTCGCTCGCGACCTCGAAAAATCAAACCAACTGTTCCATATCAAGTTTAGTGGAACGTGTGTCACTCATAACGTCGATGAGGGACGCACGGTAAGACCAAGAGGATCAAAGAGCATGAATCAAAGCATTTGAGATCACTCACTACTGCTCGCATCATCGTGCTGTCCTCGAGAGTCTGCTGTTCTTTTTGTGATTCAAATAACTGTTCGCTCAGACTTCTGGCCAACAGGAGCGGTTCTCGAAACAAAACGCCCTCTTACTCTCCTACAACCCCATGGAGCGGTCTTTCCCCTTCCTTCTGGTGTCCCTTCTCCTGTCTTCATGGCCGTTATTGTCGCGCTCATTTTGACCTTCATACTCTCTCAGGCGGTAGTATAATGCTTTAGACTCGATCGTTCTCACAGTTTCTGCTTCTACACTCTATACCAGATGTTAATTAACGCCCCATTTGACATAATGCGTATTTCAGCAACCCTGCGTTCCTTAGCGTAGGCCGTGACTTGTGCAAATGACATCCTGCTCTTCTTTTTCGCATGTCAACACAGACTTGAGGCCTGGTCAATAGAAGGTGATGCTTGTCTGTCAGGATACCAAAATCTGTTACCACAGCATCAACAATGGCTGACTCATGTTTTCTCTGGATTGACGTGCCGCAACACTTATAATGGCCATACCACACTTCCTCCTAGGTGGTAACAAGACACATAAAAATCATACATATGCTTTCCAACTGCCATGACCGGTTTAGCCGGAGCAATATGAGCTAAGTGCATATTGTAAAGATTCCTGAGTTGACCTTTCCATTCAGACATATCGACACTCTGATCCCAGAGTGCTAACCTGGAACGTTCCGATGAAGAGATGGGAGCGAGGTAGCAGTACACTTGATGTTGATGTGCTGGTCGCTATTCGATATCTGATTGCATTCGTGTCCCAAGAGCGTGTCAGGATTCAAGTATCATCAGTACAGATACACGCTTCTGCTACCTGTCGCCTTCGACTTTTGCTTAGAGCTGTTTGACACATCTTGCTTGTTTTCTGCATCTGTCTTGTGCTCCTAGGACTGAGCATCAAGGTATGACATCCATGACGAAATCTTGTCGTTGCACGGAGACGAACCAAGTTGTCCAGCCAGTCCCAATCTAATCCCATGCCAATCTCGGGCCGCAACATAATCTTGGTTGAATTCCATTCCACCTTTGATTGGGGTCAACGTGTTTCAACAGCATGCAGTAAGACCTTCTGCAACGTCGATCGTATCAGATCTCTGTCAAGACGCTAGGCTTATGCAAGCTAAAATCTTGGTTGCAGCCTGGACACTTCGCTTTTTTACCTCCTGCTTGTTGCTCAAACTTGCGCCAGACTGAGGTGGGGAATCTGTCTTGCTTTTTCCTCGTACAGTCGACTTTGGTAATCGCCTCCCAAAGAGGACATATTGTTTGGAGCAGACCATTTGGCTGCACATTATGTTCGATGGCCTTTTCGCATATCCTGATCACCATGCTGTACTCTGCGTCTTCCGGATGTGCATCTGCCTCGCGAAGGAACAGGTCGAGCAGCACTGCTAGATCTTGATAGTTCTCCCACGCAGTACCGACCAGGAACCCACCTTCGACGTTGTATGTCGCATGAAGCCAACCAGGAGGCAGATGAATCGTGGTACCGCCAGTCGTGATTGCAAACACTCCTCCTTCCAGTTTGCCATGGAGTTGTTCGAGCTTTTGTTCTCGGCCGCTTACCTCAAACAACAAGTCGAGATTCGAAGGAGTTGGAGGATACAAAGCCCACAACTTGATGCAGCTGTCGAAAACAGTGCTTAATACATGCATGCCGAAGTCTGCAGATTGATTAGCGACGGCGCCAGCGGAAGGGGGGAGTGGACCTACCGATGTGCAAGTCGACTGAACAACCAGTTGGGCCAAAGTTTGCACTCGCCTCCGCCTCTTGCGCGGTGTTAATGTCATTCCTGAGCAGTCCAGGCACTTGCGAATGCTTGGACAAGGTCTTTACTGGGATGTTTTCCACGAAGTGAGGTACCTGCGTGAACGCTTTAGTGCCCCCTACAGTCTGGAGCAAAGCAAGCGACCACAAAAATTCGACGTCAGTCCGGATTGGGCGATGCGAGTCGTCTGTACGGTACACTGTGCCCTTGCTGTCACTTCTTAAGATAGCTGCATGGATGTCGACACAATTGAGTGTTTTGCGCCAGCATTCCCCATAGCTGAATATGCAGGGTTGGTCGACATCCGGTTCAGTAGAAGGCTCGACAAGAAGAGGTCGATCATGCATCGCCTTCAGGAAAGATTTCGCGGAACGGGATGCAGTCTCAGTGAGATGTGCTACAACAAGCTCAACCGTGCTTGTCGACCCTATCTCAGGAGATGAAGGTACAGGGCAGACATCTATAGACTGCCAATTCTGTCTGTGTGGTGGGTTGTTTGTAAGATTTTCTGCTGTGTAGGGCTTATCGTCGATTGTAAAGTTGAATGCATGCTTGCTTCCTCTCTTGACTTCAATACCTTTCTGACCTTTTAGACTGAACTTGCATTTCACGTCGAACACCCTTTTTGGAGCAGATGGAGATGGAGATGCCGCTGGTGCGTATTCATACGAAGCATCCGGGTCAGTCTTGTTATAATGGTCAAGAGCCTGTTTGAACAGTTCCGGGAAATGGCGGACATGATCTTCTTTCACATTCCTGTAAACGATAGTCGCCTTGCTATCTCGTAGCCACCGCCGTGTTGTTTGCTTGGACCTAGCAGCTGACTTCTTTCGTACGTCTTGCACCATCTCGGGCAGATGTAGCAAGTAAAGCGCAAACCTTTTGTGTTCTGATGTAAGTGCTCGGATCACAAACGGCGAGACTCGCTAGCCGCCGACGCTTGGGTGTTGCCGTTTGCAGCGTGAACAGAGCAGCGAGACGCACAAAGAAGAGGTTAAAAGTTGGATAAAATATGACAATTTACGCGTCGTCGTCACCAACGTCGTTGTCGCCAGCGTCGTCGTCGTTGTTGTTTTTGTGGTTGATGTGAGAAAAAAGAGGAAAGTAGAAGAAAGCATGAATGTCGGCTTCGCGGCTGCGCGGCGCGTAGTAAGAAATTATGCACGGACCAAGCGCATTGGTCTGTAAAGTGACAGTTGATCGGCTGGACTTCTTATCGCTCGCTGCCCTCGCTGTCTTCGCTCCAGGGTACATCCTCCTATATGGACAACAAAGACGGCACTGACGATCTGTCATATGCAATACGCTTTCATCCTACCCTGGCTGTCACGAGTACCCAACATCTTGGTGTGGCCTCGACAACTAGAATAATCAAAGTTGATCGCCTTTGGTTTCTCGGCTGAAATAGATTCTTCAATATTCCTACTTTAACCCAACTCATCGATGAACTAAACAGCCTTGGTCAAATATGAGCTATCGAACTCTTCAAGCAACGACAAACAGTGAAAGCGGTTAATTAAGAAGATCTTCTTGTTATGCCCCTGTTCGTTGACCTGCTTTCGATGGATGCAGGACTACACGTATCTTTTGCAAATTTCAGGATGGATGCTAGTTCCCAGTCAAGGTCATCAGTCTAGATGCTCTGGACTACTTCAATGCTTCCAACAAATGCATTGTTCTTTCTCTGTTGAGATTGCCGGGCAATGAGATATCCGTAAGCAACTTAGTGCTTAGATACACTTCTTGTGAAGACTGTCAAATAGTCATACTTTCGAAAGCAGGTAGCGTTCGTATTTGTTTTTTATGGTCGGTTGATCGCGATGATATAAAGACTAGCGGGAAAGCTGGCAACACGTCTACTTCCTAGCAAACACACATATCTTCTGTACGGCGAGTTTTCTTGATGGATTCCTCGTCTGGCTAACTCTCTCTGAAGCTCTCTAATCTGTCCGGCTGTCTCAAAATTTCAGATAGGACTCGCCACGCGTGAGTATATCGCTCTTCCAGAACACGCATAGTCAACGTCAGCAACTCAGACCACCTCTTCCTCCACCTACTAGGAACAGAACAATCACTTGAGTACGGACTGGGCTGCTAGCTCTCCCCCTAAGATCTGCTTGATCGTACACAATCATCAACTAGCCGGAGTCCAGTCACTATGGTCCTGGAATGCTCGTGTGTCATGACAGCTCATGTTTGTAAGGCCTTTCCATAAACATCGTGATAGCATTGTTCATAGTCAGGGCAACTGTTAGAGAACATGATCAGCTGACCTCTCAGGCTAAGCTTCTGGGCTACTTACTATACTGAGTCCTGCCCAAAGATAACATGCCACAGATAGTCAAAAACGCGTCCACTTGTGGCATCGTCGAGAGGTGTGTCGTGCAACCACCTCAAGGCACCGACGTAGAACTCCAAAGGCCGCTTGTGCACCTGGTCTCGCGACACCGCGAAATGAGCACAGCATGGAGTGCCTACCACCTTTGGTACGCCATTGTTTTCGAATATCTGATTCCATGCATCCCCGAATGCGTGTTCTGCGCTCCTACCCTCTCTATGTTCCTCGCGGAACGGTTGATTCTCGTCTGGATATCCAGGGATGGCGATGCATCGGAGATTGGCATAGCCGTTGCTTAGGAAAAAACTGGTATTGAGAGACGTCAAGCTCTCAACATTGGAATGGGATTCTGCATCTGTATGCCATGCTTGTGGGTAAGTGCACTTGTGGGGATGTACAAATGCAATGATCATGGGGAGCTTTTGGTAGTTCTCCACGAGATAGGTGAGATACACGTTCGCCTCACGCCCTTTATTTGTCGAGGTATGCAAAGGCCAGGTGTCGTTGTCGACTGCTCTCCACTTTTATGCAATCGCTCCTGCTGAGCGCGGTGCGCGAAAGCACGCGAAAGCATTGTGTAAAAGATCGTCCGAACAAAAAGTCCGAGTGTCACCAAGGACAGCAACATCATGTTTGGATACAATCTCTGTGCTTGCTATGCATTCGATTTCCATAGGTCCTAACCACTGTATTTCAAGCAATTTGTCGATCACGCGCCACTTGTGTTATAATAGAGGAACGGTCGGATTACTGTACATGTAATTTACATGATGACAAATACTAGCTTCGGACGTGTAATTTTGTCAAAATGCTCGGCCGCTCATGGTGGACGCAAGCTTTCCAATGACTACGGCAAATAGCGTGTTGAGATCTGTGTTACTACAATCCTGCGATACCAAATTGATCGATCAATTACCAAGTGTAAGCTTGGTCTATCATGGTTGACTTCATGCACGGAGTAGGGCATGTGTGGTGCTCAAGTCTGTAGGCCGCTGCCAGCAACTCATCCGTCTCACGTAGTCCCGAATTGTGCTCCAAAATGAGTGACCTACGCCAGACATGAGGTTTGCGTTCAACTCCTGCTACTTACGTGGTTTCAATTTGCAGAACGACTTGAAACTACGTAAGCCAGCAAAGAAACAAGTGATGAGCACGTGCTCGTCACGTAGTCTCAACCAACTACAGGAACCAGTGATGGAGCGAGCAATTGAGCGGTCCTTCTTACGTGGTTTGAGCTCGAGGAACGTACTGAAACTACGTAAGCAGAGATAGAATCAGCTTTGGAGTTGTGCACTCTACGTGGTTTCGAGTGTGCTGTTCTTGGTCTTGTTCGTATAGCTGGTAGGTGTCTCGGGCGCTTGAGAAATCGACATCCCGGATAATCAGCAACACGGGAATACAGTTTCATCCTTGTGCCGTCGGGGATCGTGGTGGATTTCAAGTCCTCCATCATTTCTCTCCAGTCCATCATGCCATCACACTTTGCATCGAGCTTTGTCGAGGGAGGGTAACGATGTAGTCAAAAGATCGATAACACACCGTGTTTACTTCCTGCCTGCAAAATCCAGGCTAGGAACTGAGCTTTGGGTCGACAAATCGTTACCGGGAAATGAGTCGAACATATGATACTAGGTGGATGTATGATTCTCGAACCGGTGAACAGTTACAGGGATGAATTGGTACCTCTTACGTAGTTTCGAGTCGTCCAGCGAACTCAAACTACGTAAAATGACGATGGAGGAACGAGCGGTGTATTTGTCCTTCGCACGTAGTTTGGAGCTGTTCAAGAGCTCAAAGTACGTAATTTGACGACGGGACCAGCGGTGAGGTGGTAAAAAACTGGCGGAGGCTTTGAGGCCCGCAACTGATGCTCTGCGTTGTGGATTGTTTATTTGCGGTGTGCCTGTGCTATACGCTCGAGGGGTTGGTGCCGGGATATATCTCGTCAGGCATGGGTCTGGATAGCATGTGTTGTCATGACTGTCGAGACATCCACTTCAGAGCTGCGGACGATATCGGTGACGTGAGTGTAGTCTCATTCGTGGGTTTTTAGGGTAGATGACTTGGAAAAACACAGCCTGGTCGTTGGCCGCCCCTACCTTGTCCAGGCGCTGAGCCACTACTGACTCCACCAGCCCTCAGTTTCTCGAAAAACCTTCCCGAGATCATCGTAGATTCCGTCAGAAAAATTGTTGGTTCCAGGACTTGTGTTTGGTGACACTCGTGTCGTTACGGGATTAGCAACAGGAACGCGATGGCTTTGCAACGACAAAGCCTACTCTTGTTGGCATCGCGTTGCCATCATGCTCTGCATATCCACATGTCATTACACATAATAACGCTTACACTTTGTTCTGCTGAGACACACAACGAAGA